TTTCACAATGCAGTCATTTTTACTGCTTTTGGGCAATATAGGTATATACTAAGTTTCAGTGTTTCTAGTGTTAAATAAATGAATGATATTAGGTTGGTACGTATATTACGTTTTAATGAATCAAACTGATATTACATATCTTACATTTCTGTTTACATTTGGAGAGTATCATGTAAGATAGAAGTAACTGGTAGCCAGAGGGAAAGAGGAGGGACGAGGTGGTGGTATCAGTGGAAAGGGGTTGGTCGGACAATAAGTAGAATCAGCTCGCGTGGTGGGAGTCGACGCGGCCATGTGCTCGAGCGTCGACGCTCGATCGGTGATCAGTCGTTGCCGCGCGCTCACCGAGTGCACGTTCGGTGTTCCACGTCGTCGATATAACTACGCCGTTCCGTTCTCGAACCGCGAGGTTAAAGGACCACCGTCAAGGACATACAAACAACAAAAACCGATTTATTACGATGACATCAGTGTCCTACGATCGTTCGTCGTTTGTGTGATCCGGATTGTACTTGTAAGATCGGTGACCGAGCTAATCAACGAGTATATCGGTCGTGGAAGATGCCAAGGTGATCTTGTCGCGAGCCTCGAGGCCCATTTGTAACTCACGCTGAAAACTCTCTCGAGAGAGGATCGCGTTGAAACAGTGACACTCTCGGCGTTTCGTGAACGAATCCTGGCGCGTTGTTCTCGTCGCCGTACAGTGGAATCGTTGACGATTGTGCCGCGATCATGCACCACACGGCGCCCTGGTATCTACCCTGGGGCCTGAAGCTGGTGCCACTTCCGATACCACCTGGACACCCCGCTTCCGGTATCCCGAATCCCGGATTGCATTTGCTGGCACCGCTGCCAGGCATCTACGCCCCTGAACCGCGAAAGGTACGGATTTTTTATCAGTAAACTGTGAGTCCTGTGTATTTATAAGAAAATTCGATGTTTACATATATTAGGATCGTAATTTTGTGTATAGAAGTTGAGTACATGTTGCAATATGTGATCGAAGGACACTCTGCTTAATATGTATTGTATTAACTGATGTTTCATGCATTCATAAGGAAATTCAATCAGTAGAAGTCATGAATCTTGTAATGTATAAAGCTATTCAGAATATCAAAAGCTGAATGCATATTTCAAAGTTTAAGTGATAAAATGTTTATCTGAAACACATTTCTCAAATTGATGTTAGGAATATTTAGTTTTGTGCAAAGTCACTTATAATCAATTTGCATCAGTTAAAGTTTGGACAATAACACATTAGAAAAATTTGTTCTTATCTTTGTTCTTCGTTTTTACGATCTCCTATTCAGTACCATATTTAATGGTCTGATACAACTACTAAATCAGTTATGTAAATCATCGATTACGTCGGTTTGATCGTGTCTCCGAATATTATACCGACATTAGAATAAGGCGTGAAGATGATTGAAAGATTCTTACTACGAGAAGTCTATAACCATTTTTCCTTTCATTTTATCTTACAATGCATACCCCGGCTATCCCGAGCCCTTTTATCGTTTCATTTTCGCTCGACATTGTAAGACGTCATAAAGAGCATCTTATAACTTCGTCTAAATGAAACTTCTCATTGTCCAAGTAACGTAGTGCTCTGATTAAAAATCTTTTTTAACAGCGCCTTGTTTATTGTTCACATTCCGTTAGTATTAATTACAGTCTGGTCGCGATTCGTGTTATGAAAAACAGCAGAGTCTTTAACTAACTTAAAGCTCCTTCAGAAAGAAGTTACTTAAGAAATTTTTTTTTTAATCTTCGCTGCGATGTCTATTTACTTTTTATATTTTACACGCAGTATATGTATTGTACATGTTCAACATTTACATACATGCATAAAACCATATCGATTCTACGAAATTCTCATTGCGGGTGTACGAGTCTTAGCGAACTCGAAGATTCTTATCCTCGAAGGAGGATTCGTTCTCTGGTTCGGTCGAGAATCGTGCTAAGTATTATTCGTCTTGCGCGTCGGCACTTAAACAGTTCCCAAGGATACGGAAAACAAATAGTCGGCTATTACGTTCGATGGAACACGCTCGACAACAGAATTTATGGAGTAGATCGGCGCGCGCGCGCGCGAGCGATTTTAGAAATGCAGTGACTCATAGATTTATTGAAATATGAATTTATACCGCTTTTGTCTTCCGTCCTTCTTTGTCTGATAGAACGACAGTGATATCGCATCGGATTTCATAACCACGAGACTCTTACTTTCGTTACAAAATATGAATAAAATATGTATGTCTATAGTGGAATCATTTCAAGATTTCCAATGAAAATTTGTATTTATTCGATAACACTTCTGTTACGAAATATGTACAGTCGATTCGTTTCAAAATTCTGATGAAAATTTATATTTTATTCCACGGGATAATTTATGTCATTCCCAATATTAAATTTGCTTCTACTTAACGGATATTCGCAAATCCAACCGAACTAACAAGTGAACTAGATAAAATGGTGCATGAATTTAGTTATTTGTCAATTAGTATCTGCGTTACGTATTACAGTAGCTGTGATTAATCGGGGTGCGACCTTAAAGCGATGTGTGGTCGGTCCCGTTGTTTATTTAAATGGAACGCCAGTCAAATCGCGTGCGGTTTAGCTGTTCGCGGTTAGCGGGTAGCGGTTGAAATTTGCGTTATTAACAATTAACGTGGCCAAATATCGGATTGTCGCCCGGAGCGAGGAACCCAGAGAAATCGTAGATAAAATCAATCGAGGACTATAATGTCAGCATTTTCTTTTAACCAATTTCCACGCTTGACAATATATTGTTTGATTCTAACAGGTATTTTATTCTTTCGCCAAGCAAAGTTTCTTCTTTTACAAATGAAAGAATCTCCATTACATTACATAAAAAATAACGATTAGATTGTAGATGTGGAAAGAATATGAAAAAGTAATTTTGAGGGAAATTTGTATGAGGAATCCTTTAAATTAAGATTTTTCTTTCAACTGCTACTGAAGTAGAAACGATGAAGTTAGGCGATGGGAAACGAAGCCTCGTTGCTAGCTGATAAGATTCTACCGAGCGTCTCCCCTCTCCGAATCGTTTAACTATATCCGACAAGAGCGAAATGCGTTGGAGGTCCATTCTTCGCTGATAAGTGCATGAACATGCGAGACACGTGTTCCCAGCACACCTTACGCGTCGCTCCCTCGTTCAGTTCACATATTTCACGGGGTATCGGAAGCGGTTCTTACACGGAAACCATAAATCCACGCATAGCCGGAGAAATCAGAAACCGCTTGTAAAATAATACTGAACGATTCATAAATGAAATGTCATTCGATATTAAATAACGTTTTGGCCAGTACGTTTTACTCTTTATTTATCGAAACTGTAAATTCCAAGCCAGAGGAATCAGAAACCTCTCGTGGAATAATGTATGTCTTCTTGTTCGTACGAGAAACCTGCAAACTCTCATATGTAAAAAGTAATAATTCGCTTGAAATGGGAATTTTTAGGGTATCTGGTATAGCGAATGGTAATGGAAAATTGATTTTGATGTGAAATGTTCGATATCGAGCGACATTTTCGAAACACGAATTGGGATGGTACGAAGGTGATAACTTAGTAATCAGTTCGACCTAGCGAACACGGGTTAATATTGAATACACAGAGCCGTGTAAAACGGGCACTATTTCGGTGTTTCCAGGAGAGTGCAGACGTTTTAGTGTAAGCAGTCGATGGAACTTTTATTCGTTGTCACGTAGCGAATTCCGACGAGTCCCATGGTTGCCTCAGTCGTTTCAATTGTATTAATCCTGAAGATACTAGATTTCTCTTTTACCTTGTTTCTAATTTATTTTACTGCACATAATTCTTCTGAATATTGAGTTTTAAAAAAAGTTTGAGTGCAAAGGATGAAATTGGCAGAACTCGTGGAACACGTGTAGAGATTGTATTTCCTGTACCGAGGAAAACAACGTGTCATAACGTGTAATATCGTGCGGTGATATTATTATTAGAACGTACAAATAGGCGGGGGAGGAGTTTTCGGTGGAATGTTTCAGTTCTAATTCACTAATCTTGGGACTTGGATGTGTACCACCGTTGTTGTCAGAACTTTTTTGACAATTGTTAGATTGCTACCCGTGTCCTGCTAATTTGCTGGGTAATTCATCTTCTCTTTATTATTATGATTTACGATGCATTGTTCGAGGCAAAATTCACCACGCTGCACTTTTTGCTATTGTAATACTCTGTGCATTTTTATATCTGTGACTCCTGTGACTGTCACTGAAATACAAGAATTTCTATATTGAATCATATTTTATATGTGTTTTTATAACTTTAGCTTGTTGTATCGTCTTTATTGAAAATGGATGACATTGAAAATCAACTTGGAGTGCAAAGAGTCAAGGAGTCTAAATAGCTGTCGCATCGAGATAAATGCATTCGAAATTACCTCTCTGTAGAATGTTGATCGCGTGCATCAATAGGATGGGCGCAGTATGATAACTATTCTGCATATTCACGCTGATATCCTAGCAATCTTGCGTCACACGATTCACAATCCTTCTATGAATATTTTACCGTACTCCAGGCATTTGAAACCAAAAAATCTTCTCATCAATTCTGTGCTATTTCCATATTTTGTTTTTAACACATTTCTTGATTCCATCAATTTTCTCATGATTACTCGACCTTGTAATTAGGTATTTATCGTATAGATAATTTATTTAATAGTTATCGCTTTTTAATGCCACGCCAGGAATTTTCGATGAGAACTCTCGTTGGTTTCTTCTATAATAATAATTCTATTGAGCAAACATGATACGATGATGAGGATGATAATTATCCGCGGTAATTTACTTAACAACTTTCCTGTAATAATTCATTCGCTTCATCCATGGACGAGAAAAACGGCGTAACTTTGGTAATGTATAACATAAAGCCGGTACGTGTCGCGAATATCTCTTGAGCCTAAAGTCCCGTGATCATTATTTAAATTCGACGTGGGCGGCCGCACGTAGCGGTAAAAAAAGACGTCGCTCGGCCGATTCCGTGTGCAGTCATTCTTAAAAATCCATCAATTGCGGCAGCGAGGGATGGGTTCGTTCAACCCGAGCTCGTTAAAGTCGAGCAGATGTAAAAAGCCGCGAGCAAGGGTGGCTCACAAGTTTTATTCCTCGAGTGTCAAATGTTGTAAAAACGTGATTGATATCTTCTTCGATGAAATTCTTTCAAAATTTCTTATCATATCTTATTGTTATATTTTTAATAATATCATTG